AACCCCAAAGAAGATTATATAAAACAGAAGCAAGCAAAAGAAAAAATGAAAATAAATCCCAACAGAGTATGCTTAATGAAAATGAAAAAGAGGAAATCGCGTTAAAATTGTTATATCCTGAATAATAGCTATTTATTTACAGGTATAATTACACATAATAATATCGAAAGAAAAATATAATAAGTAATTTTCTCTCGCGTGGAATATAAGTAGTATATTTTCTCAAAAGTTCGGATTTAATTTTCAACATTTTTTTAAATTTTTTTTCATTAACGAAAATATTAAAAACACTTGTTAATTTTATTATTTTGAAATCCGCCCGTTTTTTTGCCAATAAAGTGATTTTTTTTGAAAGATATCATTGTTCCCTTCAACTCTTTGATTCTACTCCTTATCCGCAATCCACCCCAACTTTTACGTAGCCAGGTTGTACCTGCTCGTACACCATTAAAAAAGTTAGAGCCTTCTGAAAAAAAAAACTTCTGACGGCTTGTTGGAAAGTTCATAAAAATGAAATTCGCTCATATTATTAGAAAACCCAAATATCATACCAAAAAACATTTTTATTTTTGTTACCTACATAAAATATTTTGTTTCCTTTTTGTATTTTTGTTTTTTAAGGACACAACTATTGTTTTGTATCTTTTAAACGATGTAAAATTTCTTTTTTCTAAATTAATTATTCGCTCTAGTATTATCAAAAAATATCAACAATTTCACGCAATCCCCAAACAGTAAAATAATATATAGTAATAAAAACATTATATAGGTGAGCCATCATCCATTGCCTGGAAACTTATATGGTGAAATTTTGATAAAATAATTTAGTACATACTAAAAAACACGGTATGTCGCTAGTGGTAGGAAAAATAATTTTTAGAGGTTACTAGTTTATTTGGTTGCCTGTGATATGCATATACAGGGTGTTTTCTAATTAATCTAAAAAATAAAAAGAATCGTTAGAAAACGGATTAAGGCGGACTCTTAATAAGTATGTTTATGTTTTTTTCTTGACAACCGTTTGATGAACAAGAAAAACTCAAAAGATCAATTTTGTTGAAAAAGGATGGCCAGTCAAGAAAAAAAATATATTTTCTTTAAAACAGCAGTGGTATACCATTTATGTTAAACAAAAAACTCGTTTTTTTTAATTTGTAACACCCTGTGTGTCAGAAAGGAAGTACTTTAGACGCAATGGTTATATAAAAATTATTTTAAGAACACCTGAGGAATCACACCACAATTTTTTTAGACTAATTAGAAAATACCTTGTATATTGTCAACTTGATAATGATTGCTGATAAATCAAAAAATATCTTTTCAGTGAAAAAAGCCCGATTTTCGCAGGAAAAATTTTCATTTTTATTGAATTTGGGCATGCGTCGGCAAATACCGGTTTGTTTTTTAATTTTCTATCTATCTAAATTTTAAATATCATAGTCAGAAATAGTTTTATTATTTATTAACTGTAAAAATGGTGTTTTCCTGTTGTGTTGCATCTTGTAAAGAAACTAACAAAACTGCAAAAATGCACGTGTTTCCAAAAGACGATAAGGTATCTATCTTAGATAAAAGAAAAATATATGGAATGTATTCGTTGTTTGATTTTTTTTTCGTTCGCTTTAAAATCTATAAATCGCGGTCTATTCATTAGACAGCCGAGAAGAAATTAAGAGAAACAAGCTTTAAGCAGAAAATTCGCACATAAAGCAGGTGTACGGCTATTAAATGCTTTTTCAAACTATAGCCCTGCTAAAAAATGCGTACGCATTTATGTACCAGTGAGCCGCTGGAGTTTTTCTTGGCGCGCCGTTTCGTTGCCGATTTAGTTGCACGATGGCCGCTAGATGGCGACTTCGTTAAGAACTCACCATAGACAAGTACTGAAACGTACTTGACGTGCATGATTATTTTTCCTTGAAATGAGATCATCATCCATATATCTCTGAACTTCTTGAATGGCCAGTGATGTTGAAGTTCCCTTAGGTTTTACTGTATTAATAATATTATCGTAATTATACCAAATTGATATTTTCTTCTTTTCGGGATTAGATTCAAGATTGGGTAAAGAGCCCGAAGTGTCTGCTTCGTTAATTGTTACATCGTTCATGACACCAGTGTTGCCAACCGTAGCGGAATTCCGCTACGCATAGCGGAATTTACCGTCAAGAGCGGTGTAGCGGCGGCGGAACCAAATGACAGTAAGACGTAGCGGAATATTTTAATTCTCTTAGACGCGTGTAATGACGTCAACATTCTAAAACAGATTATTTATCATAAGTATTATGAGCAGTAAGAAGTTATGTGTTTTATTATATATTAATCTTATTTATTATTAACTAAAACTCAAATCAACAAGGCAGCGACATCTATCAATCAATCAATCAACCGGCACTGTGGCGTGCCAGGTAAAATGTGTTAGAGAGCGCCGGGAGCGGTAGAGGGCTCTAGGCTCTAGTGCGCTGATCGCTATTTACTAGTTCTCGGTGGTTCCCAAAATCTTTTAAAGTAAACAAAACAAAAGCAATGTAGGTTGTACGTGTATTTAGTATTATAAAAAGGTATGCTAATATGATTTATACATATATACATGCATTCAAGCAGAATACATATCTAAATATGCATAAATACCACAATAAAAAATTACATAATTTGCACTCATTTCAGGGGCGCAATATGTCTGAGTTATCTGATTCTGATATAGGAAAAAGCGGATCATCTACTCCGAAAAAGAAAAGGGCAATGAGGCACGAACTGGCCAGAGATGAAAAGAAAAGCCGAAAACAACTTTTTTCCAGAAAGTGGATGGAAGAAGATATTTTTAAGCGATGGCTACTACCAACTGAAGATCCAGCTAAAGCTAAGTGTAAAGTATGCCAGTTGAATTTAGGGACCAAAAGAAGTGATTTGTTAAGCCATGGGAAAAGTCAGAAACATTTAAAAAATATGAACTTAACGCAAATAACTAGACCAATTACTGAAATATTTCAGTCTTCTAAACAAGATAAAAATCTAATAATAGCAGATATCAGATTTACTTTGTTAGCTGCATCTCATAATTTTAGTTTTAGTTCTATTGACCATGTAACCGACACTTGTAAATTAAGTTTTAGTGATTCGAAAATCGCAAAAAATATGCAATTAAGGCGTACAAAATGCACAAGCATTTTAAAAAACGTACTTGCATCTACAATTAAAGAGGCATTGTGTGGTGAACTGAAGAATAACAGTTTTTCTATTCTTGTAGATGAAAGTACAGACATCAGCAATTATCGGTACCTGTGTATTTTAGTTAGATATATTTATGAAAACAAAATCAAAACCGAATTATTAGACTTAATTCCCATCAAGGCTGATGAGGGGTCAGCAAAAGGTCTCTATTCCCTGTTTAAAAAATGTCTGACTGATTTTAATTTAAGCGTGAATAATATTGTGGGTTATTGCTCTGATAACGCCAGTGTCATGATGGGGAACAAAGAATCATTTAAGACTTATCTCTTAAACGAAAATCACCATATTGTTGTAAATGGATGTGTGTGTCACTCGGCTCATTTAATTGCTGCTGCCGCTAGCCAAGAATTGCCAAGTAATATAGAAGCATTATTGCAAAATATCTCCAATTATTTTTCTAGAAGTCCAAAGAGACAGTCAGTTTTAGAAGAATTTCAACAATTTATGCGGGCAGCTCAACTTAAAATTATAAGCCCCAGCAAAACCAGATGGTTGGCACTATCAAATTGTGTTGAAAGGCTAATTGATCAGTGGGATGTTCTTTTAGAAGTCTTCCGAGTAGCTGCCTTTGAAGATAAAAATCAAGTAGGCAATATGATATTTAATGAAATGCAAAATCCCTATGTCAAAGCTTATCTTCTATTTTTAAAACACGTTCTTCCGATCTTTAATTCATTTAATGCTATGTTTCAGTCTTCCAAAGTCCTTGTAGATAAAATGTATGTAGAGAGTAGAAGATTTGTGAAGATACTATGTGTAAACTTTGTCAAACCCTCCTGTTATACGAGTGAGGTTGAACTTGATCTATTAAATGTATTTGATCCAAATGTGTTGCTTCCGGTGGAAGAAATTAATGTGGGTTTGAATACCATGAATTTACTCAAAGATTGTATCAAAGCTGATAACGAACAATTTAAACTTAAGTGTTTGAAATTTTATCAAGTAGCCGTTGCCCAAGCATTTAAAAGATTGCCTACTAAAGATAAATTTTATAAAAATATTACATTTGTACAACCGCAAAATGCTCTGAATGTAAATCTAAAACATGATATTGATGAAATTTGTAACACATTTAAAAATAAAATAGACCCCGTAAAAGCTATAACTGAATATAATAATATAAAAATATATTTTTCTGAAGAAGAAAAAGAAAGTCTAACATGCGATGATGTAATTACGTTCTGGACAACTTTGTTGGACATGAAAAATTTTAACGATGAGCATTTATTTAGAAATATCAGCATAGTTGCTCTGATCATCCTTACTTTAACTCACGGCAACGCGGACGTGGAAAGAGTGTTTTCAATAATGACTGATGTTAAGTCAAAAAAAAGAAATCGCCTTTCACCTGATACTCTGAGTGATATTCTCAGAGTAAAAATTGATTTAGCAACCAAAAATAAATGCTGCACGAGTTATGCAATTAGCGAAAGCCATTTTCAAAAATTTAATCAGTTCATGTACCAATTTAAAACCAAAAATGAGGCAACTAGGTCCACCGCCCCCAAAGAAAATGTTTGTGACACTGACACGTCTGATTCAGATTAGAGCACGATTAGAGTTAGTTAATTTAAGTGTATGTTTATCTTTTAAAGAGAAAATATATTTTTGATTTATTTTCCATTTTTCCAGATAAGGATTTATTTGTGATTTATTGTTTATATTTATATGTTTACAAAATAAAAGTGCTTATTTTGCTGTAATTTTTTTTATATTGAAAAAAATCAATTGCCAAATGGTATCTATATAAATCATAATTCCAAAATAGACTAGATTTGTAGTGAAATTAGAAATGACACGACCGTAGCGGGGAGTAGCGGAATTTGTGTAGTGACGTAGCGATATTCGTAGTTTTCTGGTTGGCAACACTGCATGACACTTTCCTTGCTAATTATTCCTGCAACCAACTGAATAGTGCTTTTCTTTATCCAGTCTGTAGTTTTTTCATCCTCAAACAAATGATGTTTGTATCTTGGGTCAAGAAAGGTACACAACACTAGAGATTTACTTTTTTCTAGGTTTGAATACCTAGTAGCAATGCCATCCAATAATGCTTGTACTACTAATTTTATTGAATTGATCTTTACATGATTCGAGAGCTTGGTAAGAAACTTTAGCCCGCGTGTTAGCCCGCGAATTATTTTGCTAGCAGTAATATAATTTTCACTGCTGATCTCTGTAGTAACTTCCGCGCATGGCTCTAAAACCATGCACAATTCTCTACATGTATTCCATTCGTGTTCTGTTAGAAGCGGCAAATCAGTGTTTGAAAGGGCCAGAGAGTGTTTGACAGCTTCTTCCAGAAGTGTAATACGTTGTAACATAAAATAGGTTGAATTCCATCGTGTGACGACATCCTGCAACAGTTTCTTAGGCTGTTTAATACCTATTTGTTCTTGATAAGTTACTAGTTTCCTGGTTGCTGCGTTACTTCTTTTAAAGTAAGTTACAATTGCCTTCACTTTCATAAGGACATCTTTGACATGTCGAAGAGCGTCTTGTACAACCAAATTTAATTTATGTGCGTAGCACCCATAATGTTTCCATTTCAAAATGTTAGTAACGGCACTTGTAATATTAGAAGCATTATCTGACTCACTAATTAACCACTCACTAACCATTTTAGTGATATATTCTGCTAAGTTCTCCGCAGTATGGGAGTCTTTAAATACCGAACAATCCAACAATACAGTTTTCATTTCAAAATGTTCATTTATATAATGAGCGGTTAACGCACAATAACTGTCATTTACAGACGAGGTCCAAGCATCTGTTGTAATACATACACTTAATGCTTGTTCGCTTAGAGTATTTTTTACATCTTGACATATTTCTTCAAATTTTGCTGGTATCAGAGAATTTGAAAAATATTTTCTCGAAGGTATTTTATACTCAGGAGCACAAATGCTCATTAAATTTTTAAATCCTTTATCTTCCACCATGGTAAACGGTTGGAAGTCCCAGGTAAAAAGCTTCATTATGGCCAAATCAACTTTAGATTTATCAGTAGATGACATTTTCTTTGGTATAAAATGAGACATCGCAGTTTGCCATTTGGTTCCACGAGATGTCGCTTTTATAGAAGACAATTCTGTTGTAATAACACTGCAAGCGGATGAAATTTGCGATTGTTTATCAGAAGTGGAAGCCGCATTGTTATCTGGGTTTGTTGCAGATGTAGTTGAGGGAGCAGATTCTATTATAATAACTGGGGTATTCTCTGTGATTTCTGCAGGCTGTATAACTTCCGTAGAAAAAAAAATTTGTAGGTGGAATCACTGTAGGATGTTTTCGTGACAAATGTTTTTTTAAATTAGATACAGACCCCTTATATGATAAATTAGCGGAGCATAACTTACATTTTGCAAGTTGGTGATTTAATGGGTCAAACATATTCCATAAATCACTAGTTTTTCTCCTCTTCTGATCTATGGTTCTCAATAATTATACATATGTTTTAAAATATTTTCTTAAACACTATTGCACAACTAAGATCAATAAAATAAATCACGTAACGTATCAAAACATTACCACGCGATCAAGAGTAAAACGAAACAACAAACTGCCATAAGATAATTTGAATTATTAGGGAATTCTGGGAATTACAGAAAGTAAAACGTATGGGTTCCATCGTGACAGCGCTCCAAGGTCATCAGTTTTAAAATTAGTGATGGGATATTTCAAATTATAAATAATCGATAATCCGATTTTTCAATTAAGCATTTTATGCCCGTCGTTATTTTTTATTAATTTCTAAATGATACGAGTAGCATTAAAATGGGTGTCATATTGTTAAATACACAAATTTCCAACAAAGATAAAATCATTGGCCTACAATAGGTTATCGTTAACCGGGTTGCCGATCTTTCAACAAATATTCATACTTTATATAGACAGAAATCGTATTGCTGGTTGCCGCCACTTCATTAAATATCCATGCAGAGTTAACACAATCAGAAACGTCTATTGAGTCTATTGAACAGTATTTTACTTAACACCTACCTGTGCACCTACCTACGAAATATTTGTGACAGAGGGCTATTCATAGTATTTTCTGCTAAATGGTATTGATTCACTATTCAAAACAGATACATTGACAATTATCACTTTACCCAATAAAATAACAAATATCTGTAATAAGTATTTTTGAATGTCAGTAACGATTACAGTTACGTCAGTCGAGTATCTGTTACAAAGTACTGATTACTGAAATCCCGACACACCTCTATACTTGGCTACAGGTACGAACTATGAAAGAGCGGGAGATTTAAATTATTATTATAGTTATTCTTATTTTTCAGGCAATTAAAACTAAAAGTGCCCTTAACCAAAAATAGTGAAATAAATGGAGGTAGTCAAATTTTATATTATCATGATATTAAAGGATATAAATACAGTATTTATAATCATTTTACCACGCAAATATAAAATTTGACTATCTCAATTTATTTCACTATTTTTGGTTAAGGGCACTCTTAATTTTAATTTTCCTTTTTTTATGGGAAAACGATTAAAGGGGAAGAATCGAATGGGAATGGAAAGAAGGACCAATTATTGTATTTTGTATTAATTTATAACAAAATACAGACTTATATATAGTTTGCGATTTTATGTTTTTCGTTTTAGGATATATGTATATGTAAGTAGGTTAATTTGGACAAACAGACAAAAATTTTTAATAATCGGTAAAATGACGAATTATATGTAAATAGATAGTCATTTTGTCGTCATTTTTGACGTCAACGTCATTTTTGACATTTTTGGGAGGAAAATAGGTGGAGGTGGGGGAGAAAGACTTTTCGCTAATATTATGTACACAAATTGCCTTTAATCAGAAAATATTTTTTATTAATCAACAAAATAAATAACATAAAATAAACTCTTCAAAACAAAAACTAAATAAATCATCTTCTTTTGCCTACATAAATAATGTTGACACTCATACCTAGTTGAGATCATAGGAATTGAAAAAAAAACATTTGACGAACTCTTCCGTATTAGATATGAAACATTACGGTCTCTTATACCTACTAAACTAATAAATTTTAACATTACTAAATTTACTTTTCTTTTTGGTTCTTTCTTGAGTCCTAAAAATATCATCACAAAATTTTTTAATCACTAAATCTACAGAGTATTGAATTATATCATTTTTTATCGATTCTGCGTGATGTTCACAAGTTAACCATTTGAAATCTATATAATTTTTGGCAAAAATACTTATTTTTTTTGAAATATGACACACATGACCATAGACTGGTAGTAAAAAATAAATAATTTCATGTATTTTGGCGAGTGCATCTGCTACACTCTTTGTAACATAAATCAGTCTTTGCTTATTGTCGGTATATTCCTTAAACTGGGTATACATGTGATAAGGTTCGATGGTGTCACTAACTAACTTAGAACTACATTCATAACATTGAACTAGTTTTAGTTTTTTAACAATAAAACCAGCAACATACGCAGTAATTTGGTTTTCGTATGCATCATCTAACTTAGTTGTGCTTGGAGGCAAAACGACATTTTTAAATTCGTAATCATTTAAGTTAGAAATGGGTGACTTACCTGTGTCTAAGCTTGGGGTCTCATCCAGGAATGTCTGCAGATTTTCCAATACCGAACCAGAGTCATCTTCACAATTTTTATTTTTTGAATTTGATGATATTAAATTATTCACAATCCAGGTTTTAAAACTACTAACAAATTGAGTACAATTTGGATTTGTGTTTGAACCATTGAGATTTCGTATGGAGAAAAATGAATTCTCTAAAGGGTCTTGATTTAATGATCTGGTTCTTAAAAACCGAAATCCAAGTTTTTGACATTCTTGAAAGAGTTCCTTAGTTGCCTTCATGGTTGTTACCCAGCCTGACTTACAAGGTATTATTTTTTTTGACAAAATCATTATCACCCAAAAATTCCCAATCATTGAACTGCACTATTAACCTTTTCCATAATTCACGATGCGGTGATTTTTGTGACATACAGCGACGATAAAATTTCCCAGATTCAGGATAGGGAGTCCGTCCATTAAATGAATCAAAAAGTATGTCCATATTGTGAATAAACTCAGCCGTATACATTGCCTGGGCAGGTAGATGTTTGCTTGTAATCATACCCTCTAGGGCAGCTGCCATGGTATTACTAAGTAATCGAGCAGCAACACAAACTTTCATTTTTAAATAGCTTTTCTTATTCAGATCCATATATGATTCCCTTATCTTCCTGAGACCTTGAAATCTTTTCTTTTTGTCAATTGAAAAACACTGTTTGACATGGTCAAATCTAGCTATCATTTTTTTATCAAACTTAATGTTATATTTTAAAAATATATTGCTTACTGATTTTAGGAGATGGGGAGGATCATATAATGTACAAATCTTTTGTCCACGTACATAAAAATATGGACCTGGGTGATTAATATTGGGGTCTTCTGAAAGTTGTCTAATTGCTGCTCGATTAGTGCTACCCTGATCACACACTGTCGCCATGACAACAAGTCCTAACTTTTGTAGTGCGACAATGACATCTACTAAAATAGTTTTTAAGTCTACAGTCGATATTGTTCCCTGAGTAAAATAATAAGCTATGGGTTGTTTCCATACCTTATGGAGGCCATTAACCATGAACACTAATGCATGATCTGCATATGCATTTCTTCGACCCAGTTGTCCGAGATCCACATAGCCTATTATTTTATCTTGGTATTTATTGTATATTAATTGTTGCGACAGAGCAATCTCGTCAAACATTAATATACATGCTTTGTCAGTAGGCTTCAATTTTTTTACTCTTTTAGATAATTTTTCCAAAAACACCTTATCTAACCCTGGCTCAAAAGGTATATTTTTTAGGAGCTTTTGTAAGGTGCTTTTAGACGGCAGTGGAATAAACTTTTTCAACAATCTATAACATTTCGGCCCCTTTTTATAGATAGCTAGTGCAAAGACTTTGTCTTGCACTGTCCATGATGGCTTTTTATATTGAGAATTCTTAATTGTTGTTTTAATGAATGATATTCCTGCAGGATCTAGCTTTTTCTCGAGGTTTTTAAAAGTTCTGGTCATTGAATATTCATAAGCTTTTTTAATTTTTTCTTTAGATAAAGTTAAGGATTTTTTTAGTTTGTCAATTGCCTCTGATTAGTAGTAATTTTGTACAATTTTTTTTCTCTTGGGGTTAGGTTTATATTCTTATTTTCATTTATTAAGGATAAAATCGGGTTGTATTTTCTTTTTTTAATGGGTGGAGGATTAGGGGGAACATCACTCAAATCTGGACCATCAAAATTCCAAGGAAATAATCTTTTTTGTGAATTCATTGGGCTATGGACTGTTGTGGATTGTGTTTTATTATTTTGCAGATTTAGCCTAGGATTCGAGCTAGGATTTAATAAGATATTACTATGTATTATTATTGTGTTAAAGGGAATAGCATGATTATATAGTCTATGTTTGCCACAAAAATATTTTTTTTCAAAATGCTCTTTACAAAGATATAGTCGTGATTCTTTAAATGGTAAATTCATTATCGAAAACCATTTTCTTCGTCTTTCGTGATCTTTGTCAGGAAAGCGAAAAAATGATTTGTTGTTATAATTCTGATCAATTATTTCCCTGTAATAGGAATTTGGACACCCCAGTGCAGCGCATTTATATGTGAGGTACCCTATTTTATCCATTACTCTTACCGGTATACCCTCTTACCTATTTAGTACTCTAATAGTAGCATCTACGAGAATGTTTTATCTATTTAAACCTTATCACATGTATACCAGCTACCCGGCGGCTACCCCTATCTATCCGATTTTCACCAAAATTGGTATACACCCTATTTTAAGGTCGTAGATTACGAACCTGAACTTTTTTCCTGGCGGTCTCTTACCGTTTTTTAGAAAAACGGAAAATAATTTCAACATTGAATTTTTCTTTATTTCAGCCCTATAAAGTAATAATTTCACTATATTTTCATTATATTATAGTTTATCTAAAAGCCACACTTGATTGAGGACATAGATTGAGGATCGAAAAATGTCCAAAATTTTACTGAAAAACACTTTTCTTAACAAAATAACCAAGAAAATTGAGACCATGATCAGATGGAAGTTTGACATTTCATTATTTGATATATCTTTCTTTCTCTCTCCTATGTAATGAGAGGGACAAATATATTCTAGATCTAATTTTGAAATTAGAAAATTTTCAACCTTGCCATATCTTGTATTTTTTCGGAGGATTAGGGATTTTAAATAAATTATATACCTTGACAATAGTTAAATATTAATATATATCTTGCCTATATCCACAAAGTTGCGCCAAAGAGTTTTGATTGCATTGGTTTTAACTATGCGGAGGGGGTTAATTTTTTTTTTGTTATATTGTATTAAAAAAGATTAACCCCCTCCGCATAGAAGTTGTAACCAATGCAATGAAAACTCTTTGCGGAGGAGCTTAATCTTTTTTTGATATAACAAAAAAAAAGAGTAACCCCCTTCGCTTAGAAGTTGTAACCAATGCAATGAAAACTCTTTGCGGAGGAGTTTAATCTTTTTTTGATATAACAAAAAAAAAAGATTAACCCCCTTCGCTTAGAAGTTGTAACCAATGCAATCAAAACTCTTTCGTGCAACTTCATGGTTATAAATAGTTAGATCGCGTTGGTAAAATAGCAGATATTCAGGAAGGAGCAGTTCCTTTGGCAACCGCCTTTCGTAATCCCAGAATGAGTGAAAAAACGCGCTAAATTTAGGTTTAGCATTGGCAACGTTGCTTTAAATGCCAGAAACACATAACCCAGCATTTTCAGATTGTTTACAAATTTATTTTAGCAAATTTTCCTCTATTATGCATAGAATTGGTTAAAAAAGTAACAGAAAATAGCAAAAACCTCATTGTTTATTGAATACCTAACAAAATATGCGCTAGAAAACCTTAAAAATATCAGAAATTAAGAAAAATTCGATGTTGAAATAATAGCCTGTGAAATAAAAACTTCTGCATGGACATTACCTTTCTTACCTTTGTCTGCTACTTTTTAATAAAAAAACAACTGTTTATTTGCACAAAAATAAAATTAACAATCAAAAAGTTTCTTAAAAAATGATCAAGCCGTGTATCACGTCGTGTGCCGTTTTTTGAACAAAAGAATGAGAATGAGCTGAATCAGCTATCAGCTCAGCTGATGAATCTTTCTGAATACGCTAAGACTAACGGACTAGTGATAGAGAAAACTAGTGTCGAAACACAGATAGCTAGATGGGCGTATTTCGCCACTTGCGTCGATGCGCTACAGGAACATTTGCCTGCGCGTCGTATGTCTTCTGGCAGTCTTTTAATTTTTCTGTTTGTCTATGGCTTGCCAGGTCGAGGTAGGCTATCAAAGTCGTCCTGATGATGGAGTATAACTCCGAAACCGGTCGACGAATGGGTAGTCTCCTTGGCCTGACAAGCTTTAAGCAGAAAATTCGCACATAAAGCAGGTGTACGGCTATTAAATGCTTTTTCAAACTATAGCCCTGCTAAAAAATGCGTACGCAAGATTATGCTTGGTGTCAATGTGACGTGCATCCAAAATTATATTTTGATATTATTAACCAAGATAAATTATAACCACCATCAAAAGGCGTTCAAAATGACCAGTTCCTAGATAATATTCAGGAACAGATTGGAGCCAGCCTGTCAGCGTTAGGATCTGTTCTCTCTGAGAAGCTGAAGGGACCTAAATAAAGAAATGACAGTTTCAAGCGAAATAATAGAAAAGATCGTGGACGCCTGTCAATTAATGGCAACAATTTATTTTTATTTATTTTTTTATTTTTATTTTTTTATTACACAATAACATTAAAAAGAAAATTCGAGATATCTCCCCATTTAAATGATGAAGGGAAATTAGCAGCGAATAAAAATGAAAGCGACAAATGGCTAATCGGAAAGGACTTTTTTTCAAAAGTCAGATCTTCGAAGGAGGTGAAAAAAGCAGCTGAAGAACTTCTAAATGTTAAAAAGCCGAAAGCAGCAGTAGCAGGTTCTTCTGGGTTAAACAACCCTTTAAACTACCAGCGCAGATTCCCCAAACCGAAATTCAAAGGAGGAGTGCGAGCAGAAGGCGCAGCGAGATCTACCGAGACAGCGTTTTCGGCAGAAAGACAGGAGCCCAAAGAGATATCAGCCGTATAAAAAAGAGCAGCGGAGGAACAATCTTCATCACCGATAACTTTAGAGGTACAAAGCCTTTTCCAATTAGCTGGTAGAATTAAACATTTTTTGGCGAATGGCAAAAAATATCGATAAATCAAAAAATTTTGGAATGGGTAAGCGGAATAAAGTTAAAATTTCACTCGATCTCAAAACAACATATCCTACCACATCAAAATATTTCTACTCAGAAGACACTTTTATATTTAACGGAAATAGAAAAGCTATTTAAAAAGGGCGTTATATCAAAATGTAAATACGCCAAAGGACAGTTTTTATCATCACATTTTCTAATCAAAAAACAAAACAGTAAAAATAGATTTATTTTAAATCTAAAACAACTAAATTACTTTATTGAAAACCATCATTTCAAGATAGAAGACTACCGCAGTGCGCTAAAGTTAATGTCCCCAAATATTTTTATGGCAAAAATAGATTTGAAAGAAGCCTGCTTCTTCTATCTATTGATAATAAGTAGAAACGGTATATACGGTATATATATATACAGTATAAATAAAATTTAAGGTTTTCTTTTAAAGATGAGGTTTATGAATTTAATTGTCTTCCTTTTGGCCGGAATATAGCGCCACTCATCTTTACGAAAATTCTAAAACCTGTTGCAAGAAGCTTACGACAACAGGGCACAATTAATTGGCAACAG